GGTCACTCACTGACCAGTGGTAGAGCGGGCAGCGTGGGCTCCAGCCAGCCGTGGGCAGCAGTGGTCACTCATTGGTCACTCATTGGTCACTCACACAGGGGTCACACACTCAGTGGTCACTCAGGGTCACTCGGGGTCACTCAGTGGTCACTCAGGGTCACTCGGGGTCACTCAGTGGTCACACAGTGGTCACTCGGGGTCACTCACACAGGGTCACACAGGGTCACACAGTGGTCACTCAGTGGTCACTCAGGGTCACACAGGGTCACACAGGGTCACACACTCAGTGGTCACTCAGGGTCACTCGGGGTCACTCACTGACCAGTGGTAGAGCGGGCAGCGCGGGCTCCAGCCGGCCGTGGGCAGCAGCCCCTGCAGGGCGCACGCCAGGTTCAGCCCCAGGTATGACGTCAGGCACAACCTGAAGGGGGGTGTGTGACGTCACGGCGCGGCTGACGTCACCGTGCCGGGGCGGGGCGGGGGAGGGGTCACGCACACGGAGAGCACCGGGGCCAGCAGGTCCAGCGAGCCCAGCAGCACCCCCAGGGCCGCCGTCAGCACCGTCACCGCCAGGGGCCAGCGCCGGCCCCGCGACAGCGCCTGCGGGACACCGGGACATGGGCACAGGGACAGCGGGGACACCGGGGGACATGGGGACAGGGACAGGGACAGCGGGGACATGGGGACATGGGGACATGGGGACAGGGACAGCGGGGACACCGGGGGACATGGGGACAGGGACAGGGACAGCGGGGACATGGGGACATGGGGACAGCGCCTGCGGGACACCGGGACATGGGGACAGGGACAGCGGGGACACCGGGGGACATGGGGACAGGGACAGGGACAGCGGGGACATGGGGACATGGGGAGAGGGGGACAGGGACAGCGGGGACATGGGGACAGGGACAGGGACAGCGGGGACATGGGGACATGGGGATAGGGACAGTGGGGACATGGGGACATGGGGACAGGGACAGGGACAGCGGGGACATGGGGACATGGGGACATGGGGACAGGGACAGCGGGGACATGGGGACATGGGGACAGGGACACCGGGGGACATGGGGACACCCGGGGACAGGGACAGGGACTGCGGGACACCGGGGGACATGGGGACATGGGGACAGGGACAGGGACAGCGGGGACATGGGGACAGGGACAGCGCCTGCAGGGACACCAGGGGACATGGGGACATGGGGACACCAGGGGACATGGGGACACCCGGGGACATGGACAGGGACAGTGGGGACACCGAGGGGACATGGGGACACCGAGGGGACACCAGGGGACATGGGGACACCAGGGGACATAGGAACATCCCCGGGGGACATAGGGACAGGGAGGGGACATCCACCGGGGACATGGGGACAGCCCCACCCCAGCACCTGCGGGGACACAGGGGGACATGGAGAGGACATGGAGGGGACATTGGGGACACCCTTGGGGACCCCCTTAGAGGCACCGGGAACCCTTGGGGACATTGGGGACTCCCTGTGGACAGCCCTAGGGACATCGGGGACCCCTAGGGGACATCAAGGACCTCCTTAGAGACCCCTTGGGGACATTGGGGACTCCCTGGGGACAGCCCTAGGGACATCGAGGACATCGGGGACCCCTAGGGGACATCAAGGACCTCCTTAGAGACCCCTTGGGGACATTGGGGACTCCCTGGGGACAGCCCTAGGGACATCGAGGACATCGGGGACCCCTAGGGGACATCAAGGACCTCCTTAGAGACCCCTTGGGGACATTGGGGACTCCCTGGGGACATTGGGAACCTCCTGGGAACTCCCCTGGGGACATCGAGGACCCCTCAGAACCACCGGGATCCCCTGGGGACACCTTGGGGACATCAGGGACACTCTGGGGACATTGGGGACCCTCTTAGAGACCCCTTGGGGACAACAGGGACCCCCTTAGGAACACCAGGACCCCTTGGGGACACCCTTAAGGACATCGGGGACACCCTTAGGGACATTGGGGACCCTCTGGGGACACCCTTGGGAGCACCAGAACCCCCCTGGGGACACCCTTGGGGACACTGAAGACCCCCTTAGGAACCCGGGACCCCTTAGGGACATTGGGGACCCCCTTAAGAACACCGGGACCCCTTGGGGACACCCTTGGGGACATCGGGGACCCCTTAGGAGCACCAGGACACCCTGGGGACAACAGAGACCCCCTTAGAGCCACCAGGACCCCTTGGGGACCCCGTGGGGACATCGGGGACCCCTGGGGACATCCTTGGGGACATCGGGGACCCCCCTTAGGAACACCGGGACCCCTTGGGGACATCCTTGGGGAACATCAGGGACCCCCTTAGGAGTACCGGGACCCCTTGGGGACATCGGGGACCCTTGGGGACACCCTTGGGGACATCGGGGACCCCTTAGGAGCACCAGGACACCCTGGGGACAACAGAGACCCCCTTAGAGCCACCAGGACCCCTTGGGGACCCCGTGGGGACATCGGGGACCCCTGGGGACATCCTTGGGGACATCGGGGACCCCTTAGGAGCACCAGGACACCCTGGGGACACCCTTAGGAACACCGGGATCCCTCGGGGACACCGGGGACCCTGGGGACACTCACGCGCGGCAGCGGCAGCGCCCGTGTCCGCGCCAGGGCCCGCAGCAGGCGGGACCCCCCGAGCAGCGCCTGCAGCCCCGCGCCCCCCGCCGACAGCCCCGCCCCCAGCAGCGGCAGCCACCAGGGCCAGGCGACAGCGGCCAGCACGGGGACACCGCCCAGGGTGACACCGAACCTGCGGGGACATGGGGAGGGACATGGGGACACTGCCCGGGGACACAGTGGGGACACTGCCCGGGGACACTGCCCGGGGTGGCACCGAACCCTCGGGGACAGTGTGTGTGTGGGGGGGACAGCAGGGTCCCGCCCCGGCCAACAAGACCCGCCTGGTGACATTGGGGACCCCCTGATGACATTAGAGACACCAGGGGCCCCCTGGTGACATTGGGGATCCTTTAGGGACACCAGGGACCCTTCTGGTAACATTGGGGACATCGGGGACCCCCTGGTGGCATTGGGGACCCCCTGGTGGCATCGGGGATCCCTCAGGGATATTGGGGACCCCCGGGTGGCACTGGGGACATCAGGACCCCCTGGTGGCATTGGTGACACTGGGACCCCGCTGGTGACACTGGGGATCCCCCTCGGGCACACCAGGACCCCCCTGGTGGCATTGGGGATCCCCTGGTGACATTGGGGATCCTTTAGGGACACCAGGGACCCTTCTGGTAACATTGGGGACATCAGGGGACCCCCTGGTGGCATTGGGGACCCCCTGGTGGCATCGGGGATCCCTCAGGGATATTGGGGACCCCCGGGTGGCACTGGGGACATCAGGACCCCCTGGTGGCATCGGGGACCCCCTGGTGGCATCGGGGATCCCTCAGGGACATTGGGGACCCCCGGGTGGCACTGGGGACATCAGGACCCCCTGGTGGCATCGGGGACCCCCTGGTGGCATCGGGGATCCCTCAGGGACCCTTGGGGACATCGGGGACCCCTTAGGAGCACCAGGACACCCTGGGGACAACAGAGACCCCCTTAGAGCCACCAGGACCCCTTGGGGACCCCGTGGGGACATCGGGGACCCCTGGGGACATCCTTGGGGACATCGGGGACCCCCCTTAGGAACACCGGGACCCCTTGGGGACATCCTTGGGGAACATCAGGGACCCCCTTAGGAGTACCGGGACCCCTTGGGAACATCGGGGACCCTTGGGGACACCTTTGGGGACATCGGGGACCCCTTAGGAGCACCAGGACACCCTGGGGACACCCTTAGGAACACCGGGATCCCTCGGGGACACCGGGGACCCTGGGGACACTCACGCGCGGCAGCGGCAGCGCCCGTGTCCGCGCCAGGGCCCGCAGCAGGCGGGACCCCCCGAGCAGCGCCTGCAGCCCCGCGCCCCCCGCCGACAGCCCCGCCCCCAGCAGCGGCAGCCACCAGGGCCAGGCGACAGCGGCCAGCACGGGGACACCGCCCAGGGTGACACCGAACCTGCGGGGACATGGGGAGGGACATGGGGACACTGCCCGGGGACACAGTGGGGACACTGCCCGGGGACACTGCCCGGGGTGGCACCGAACCCTCGGGGACAGTGTGTGTGTGGGGGGGACAGCAGGGTCCCGCCCCGGCCAACAAGACCCGCCTGGTGACATTGGGGACCCCCTGATGACATTAGAGACACCAGGGGCCCCCTGGTGACATTGGGGATCCTTTAGGGACACCAGGGACCCTTCTGGTAACATTGGGGACATCGGGGACCCCCTGGTGGCATTGGGGACCCCCTGGTGGCATCGGGGATCCCTCAGGGATATTGGGGACCCCCGGGTGGCACTGGGGACATCAGGACCCCCTGGTGGCATTGGTGACACTGGGACCCCGCTGGTGACACTGGGGATCCCCCTCGGGCACACCAGGACCCCCCTGGTGGCATCGGGGATCCCCTGGTGGCATCGGGGATCCCTCAGGGATATTGGGGACCCCCGGGTGGCACTGGGGACATCAGGACCCCCTGGTGGCATCGGGGACCCCCTGGTGGCCACAACTCCCCCCCAAAAACGCCAAAGATCTCTTCAAATCCGCCCCAAATCCTCAAAATCCCCCCAAAACCCTCCCAAAATCCCCTCATGTTTCGGGGTCCCCCCCAGTTTTGGGGTCGGACCAGCCCAGCGCCGTGGCCGTGGTGACCCCCAGGTTTTGGGATTTGAGTCTCCCCAGTTTTGGAGTCCCCTCCCCAGTTTTGGAGTCCCCTCCCCAGTTTTGGGGTCCCTCCAGGTTTTGGGGTCCCCCCGGGGTTTTGGGGTCCTCCTCCAGTTTCGGGGTCCCCCATTTGGGGTGGGATCCAGCCCAGCACCACGATGACTCCCAGGTTTTGGGGTCCCCCACCTGTTTCCCCCCTCAGACTTGGGGTCCCCCCGGGGTTTCGGGGTCCCCGGATATTTTGGGGTCCCCCCCACTTTGGGGATCCAGCCCAGTGCCGTGGACGTGGTGACCCCCAGGTTTTGGGGTCCCCCCTGACTGGCTCCCCCCAAGTTCCAGGACCCCCCCGATGTTTTGGGGTCCCCCCGGTGTTTCGGGGTGCCCCCCCGGTTCCGGGGTCCCCCCGGTTTCGGGGTGCCCCGCTGTGGATACAGCCCAGCGCCGTGGCCACGGCAGCCCCGAGGCTCCCGGCCGGCACCGAGCGCGCGACGTCCCCGAGCTCGGAGCAGCGGCTGCACCCCCAGAGCACCCCTGGGCACCCCAAAAACGGCCTGAACCCCAAAACTCCCCCAGAGCACCCCCAGAGCACCCCTGGGCACCCCAAAAACGGCCTGAACCCCAAAACCCCCCAGAGCACCCCTGGGCACCCCAAAACCCTCCCCATTTCCATCCCCCTCCCCATTCCGCCCCCTCCCCGTTCCGCCCCTCACCCGCGGCCGAGGGCAGGCTCAGCCCCAGCAGGGCTCCGAAGGAGGCGTCGGCCCCGCCCTCCTCCTGCTCAGGCCCCGCCCCCAGCCCCGCCTCCTGGGGGCGGGGCCACAGGTTCCCTGGGGGTGGGGCAGCAGGTGAGGCCACGCCCACAGCCCCTCCCAGTGACCTCGGGGCGACCCCACCCCCCGTGACCTCTCCATGACCTCAGGGTGACCCCCCCAAAGTCCCCATCCCCCACCCCATGACCCAGGGGTGACCCCACCCCCCGTGACCTCCCTGTGACCCCTTTGTGGCCCCGCCCCTAAATTGGCCCGGAGCGGTGTGGCCACCACCTCACTGTGGGCGTGTCCCGCAGTAGCCACGCCCACCCTCCCCCTCCCCTAGCCCAGGAGGCGGAGCCACACCGCCCATGTGGGCGTGTCTTCCCGCGGCCCCGCCCCCTCGGACTCACGTGCCAGGAGGCGCGCGCTGGGCCCGGGCAGGGCGGGCAGCGCCCCCTGCTGGCTGGGAGGACCGCGGGAGGCGTTGGGGGGCGCGGGGGGGGCGCAGGGCAGGAGGGGGTCCCCGGGCCGGGGGGGGAGGCACAGCCTGGGGAGGAGCGCAGCGTCAGCCGGGCGGCTCATTAGCATCTCATTAGCATCTCATCAGCACGGGGTGGGACCAGCACTCACGCGTGGGCGGGGTCGCGGAGCAGGGCGTGGCGCAGGGACCCCGCCTGCAGCGCCAGCAGCGCCAGCAGCAGCCCCGCGGGGCCCAGGGGCGCGGCCAGAGCGCGCACGCGGGGCGGGGCCAGAGACCCCGCCCCCAGCAGCGCCAGAAGCCCCGCCCCGTAGCCACGCCCGTTGTTGAGGCGGCCCCAGCGGCCACGCCCCGGAAGCACCGCCCAGCCGGGGAGCAGGTACACCTGGGGGAGGGGACACGGCGGTGACAGGCTCCGCCCGCCCGCACACCCATAAGGGGAAGCCACGCCCATTGCCCCACCCTGACCTCACCCCAGCTCCTCCCTGGCCCCGCCCAGATCCTGCCCCGCCCCTCTCACCAGCAGCTCCTCTGCCTCCCCCAGCCCCGCCCCCATCCCCACCCGGCCCCGCCCCTCTGTGGCACATCCCTCTCACCGGCAGCAGCTCGGCCCCGCCCCTTCCTTAGCCCCACCTCGTCTGTCACCACCAGCAGCTCGGCCCCGCCCATCCCGTTGGCCCCGCCCCTCTCACCAGCAGCTCAGCCCCGCCTATCCATTAGCCTCGCCCATGCCGTTGGCCACACCCATCCCTCAGCCCCGCCCCCTCATCATAAGCAGTTCCGTCCTGCCCATCCATTAGCCCCACCCATCCCTCAGTTCTGCCCATCCCTTAGCCCCGCCCCCTTTCTCACCACCAGCAGCTCGGCCCCGCCCATCCGTTAGCCCCGCCCCGTTTCTCACCAGCAGCAGCTCGGCCCCGCCCAGCGCCGCGGCCGCGCAGGTGAAGGCGGCGCTCAGGAAGCCGCAGACCCCCACGGCCCCCCCGGCCTCGGGGCCCAGCGCCCCCGACAGCAGCGACAGCGCCCCGCCCCCTGTGACGTCAGAGGGCGGGGTCAGCGCGGGCGCGCCCAGGGCCGGCGGGGCGGGGCCGCCCCTCCCCCAGCTCACCGGGGTCCAGCCCGTTGGTGGCCACGGCGCTGAGCGACACGGCGGTCAGCAGCATCTGCGGGGGACACCGGCCGGAGAGGGACTGTGAGCGGGGCCAGGGGCCAGGGACCGTGAGCAGGGACCCTCTGACCCCTCTGACCAGTAACCCCTCTGACCACTGACCACTGACCCCTCTGACCACTGAGCAGGGACCCCTCTGACCACTGACCACTGACTGCTGACCGCTGAGCTGGGACCCTCTGACCGCTGACCACTGAGCAGGGACCACTGACCCCTCTGACCACTGAGCAGTGACCACTGACTGCTGAGCAGGGACCCTCTGACCGCTGAGCAGGGACCCTCTGACCGCTGAGCAGGGACCCTCTGACTGCTGACCACTAACCGCTGACCGCTGACCAGTGACCGCTGACCACTGACCCCTCTGACTGCTGAGACCACTAACCCACTGACCACTGACCAGTGACCAATGACTGCTAACCACCGACTGCTGACCAATGACCCTGACCTCTGAGGCCACTGACCACTGACCTCTGACCCCTGTGACCACCCCCCAGAGAGTACCCAGAACACGACCCCAACCCCAGGTGTCCCCAGCTGTGTCCCTCTGTCCCCAGGTGTGACCCCAGGTGTGTCCCCGGTGACTCACGCAGGCCCCCAGGAGCAGCCCGATGGCCGCTGTCCCCAGGACAGCTGTTCCCCCAGCTGTGTCCCCGTGTCCCCAGGTGCGTCCCCACGTCCCCAGCTGTGTCCCCACGTCCCCAGCTGTGTCCCCATGTCCCCAGCTGTGTCCCCATGTTCCCAGCTGTGTCCCCACGTCCCCAGCTGTGTCCCCACGTCCCCAGCTGTGTCCCCATGTCCCCAGCTGTGTCCCCATGTTCCCAGCTGTGTCCCCACGTCCCCAGCTGTGTCCCCATGTCCCCAGCTGTGTCCCCATGTCGCCGTGTCCCCGGTGACTCACGCAGGCCCCCAGGAGCAGCCCGATGGCCGCTGTCCCCAGGACGCCGCCGTGTCCCACGACCCAGGGCAGGCGCAGCAGCAGCAGCAGCCCCAGCAGCGACTGCAGCGACGGCGCCACCACGCCCTGCAGCGTCCCCAGGGCGCGGCGCTGGGGACAGAGGGGTCACCAGGGGTCAGTGACAACCCAAGGGTCACCCAGGGCCACCACCCCCTGCAGCGTGCCCAGGGCGCGGCACTGGGGACAGAGGGGTCACCCAGGGGTCAGTGGGGTCACCCAGGGCCACCCTGGTACCTCCCAGGTGTGTCCCAGCTGTCCCCAGGTGTCCCCCAGGTGTCCCTAGATGTGTCCCCAGGTGTCCCCAGGGGTCCCCCCAGGTGTCCCCAGGTGTCCCCAGTGTCCCCGGGTCACTCACCGGGCCGGCGCAGTCGCTGTCAGGGCTCAGCGCGCTGTACGGGGCCATCCTGCGCAGCAGCGCCGGCACGCGGGGACGCGTGGCCAGCTCCTCCTGCGGGGGAGCGGGGTCAGGGGCGGGGCCAAGGAGGGAGGGGCTCAGGGGCGGGGCAGTGGCAGGGCTGGGGAGGGAGGGGCTCAAAGGTGGGCAGCCTCAGGGGGGGGGTCAAGGAGGGTGGGGCTCAGGGTGGGGCTGAGGGGGTGTGGCCTTGTCATAAATGGCAGCAGGCACTTGGTGGGGCCAGGAAGGGGCGTGGCTTCATGCAGAACATTAATTGGGTGGGGCTAATTAGGGGTGGGGCTTGGGGTGGGCGTGGCCTCACCACAGTGCCTGGGCACTAATGAGGTGTGGTTAATTAGGGGGTGTGGCCTCACAACCGAGTACTGTGCATGAGTGGGGGGGGCCAGTGAAGGGGTGGGGCTAATGATGGGTGGGAATTAGAGGGGGCGTGGCCTCACCTCAAACAGCGCCAGGGGCCGCTCCCCCCCCACCCCGCCAGGGTTGGGAGGGGCGGGGCGAGCTCTGGCCCCGCCCCCCGGGCCCCGCCCCCGCGGGGTGGGCGTGGTCTCGGTGGGGGAGGGGCTGGAGTCGGACAGGGGGGGCCGGGAGCTGGAGGGGGAGGGGGGCTCGGGGCTGCTGTCCGAGGGCTCCGCCCCCCGCGCCGGCCACGCCCCCGGCACCGCCATGACGTCAGCAGGGAGGCGGTGACGTCAGCGCGGCGGCGATGACGTCATCATCACGGCACCTGCGGGAGGAACGCCATGGATTGAGAGGGAAAAATGAAATTTTCCGGCGAAAATTCACATTTTTGAGGGGCTTTTTGGGGAAAAATAAGAATTTTTCGAGGAAAATTCACATTTTTAAGGAGAAAATTCATCGTATTGGGGGGGGAAATGCTGGATTGGGGGGAAAATCCACTTTTTTTGGAGGAAAAGACACATTTATAGAACAAAAGCAGCAATTTTGGAAAAAAATTTCACGTTTAGAGAGGAAAAATCCACATTTTAAATAGAAAATTGTCCCTTTTGAAGAGGAGAAAAAAAACCATTCTAGACACAAAAAACATAATTTAGAGGAAACTCCACCATTTTAGAGCAAAATCTACACATTTCGAGGGAAAATCAAGATTTTTTGCACAAAGGTCCATTTTTTTGGAGGGGAAAATTGAAATTTTTAGAGGAAAAATCAGAACCATCAGAGCAAAAATCCCTATTTTGGGGAAAATCAGTATTTTTGCAGGGAAAAATGGGAATTTTTGGGACAAAAGAGAGATTTTTGGCCATGCCAAGAAGCGTTTGAGGAGGAAAGATGAATTTCAGAGAGAACCTGATTAATTTTATGGGAATAGAGAGAATTTTGGCAGGGAAAAGGGAGTTGTGGGAATTTTGGGGGGAAATCACAGGTTTGGGGGGGGGAAATTACATTTTTCTCTTGAAAAAGGTATTTTTGGGAGGGAAAATTAATTTCGGAGAGGTAAATATTCATTTTTTGCAGGAATAAGAAGAGGTTTGGGGTGGAATTGGGAATTTCCAGGTGGAAAGGAGCCACTTTGGGGCAAAATGGGCATTTTTGGGAACCAATTTGGGGCAAAGTTGTGTTGTTTTGAGGGAAAATAAAAAAAAAATCAAAATTTATAAAATATAAAACTGCATAAAGAGAGAAAAATGTAAAGAGCAGATCTTAGTGAGGATGGAGAAACTCAGAGAAGGAAAAATTCCAATTTATGGCAAAAATTGAGGGGACTGCGGGTGGAAAAAGTCTCATTTGGGGGCAGAAATTTTTATTTTGGGACCTAATTCATCATTTTTGAGTTTCTTTGAGAGGGAAAAAAGGCATTGGAGGAGCAAAACTTGAAAATTCTGGAAGGGAGCAATGAATGCTGGGGAAAAAACTCATCTGAATGGGAAAAATGGGGAATTTTGGGGAGAAACTGGGCAATTTTGGGGGGAAAATTGGCGATTTTGAGGGGAAAAGGGGGAATTTTGAGGGGGAAATGGAGAATTTTGAGGGGGAAATGGGGAATTTTGAGGGAAAATGGGGAATTTTGAAGAGAATTTGGAAACTGTGAGGGAAATGCCCCCACTAAAATCCCCATTTGGAGCCACCCCTCCTCTCTGAGGGCCAAATTCCCCATTTTTTGGCTCAAAATCTCTTTTTTTGAAACCAACCTCCTCATTTTGGAACCAACCCCCGACTTTTTGAGGCAAAACAGCCCCTTTGGAGGGCCAAATTCCCCTTTTAGAGACCAAGCCCCACCTTTTAAATGCAAATTCCCCTTTTTTGGTGTCAAACTCTCCTTTTTGGATTAAACTCACCCATTTTTGAGGCCACCCTTCCCTCATGGCCCGAATTCCCACTTTTAGGAGCTAAATCTCCCTTTTTAGGGATAAACTCCCTCTTTTTGGGGCCAAACATTGGAGGAGCAAAAATTGAAAATTCTGGAAGGGAGCAATGAATGCTGGGGAAAAATCTCAGCTGGATGGGAAAAATGGGGAATTTTGGGGGAAAATGGGGGATTTTGGGGAGAAACTGGGCAATTTTGGGGGGAAAATTGGCGATTTTGAGGGGAAAAGGGGGAATTTTGAGGGGGAAATGGAGAATTTTGAGGGGGAAATGGGGAATTTTGAGGGAAAATGGGGAATTTTGAAGAGAATTTGGAAACTGTGAGGGTAAATGTCCCCACTAAAATCCCCATTTGGAGCCACCCCTCCTCTCTGAGGCCAAATTCCCCATTTTTTGGCTCAAAATCTCTTTTTTTGAAACCAACCTCCTCATTTTGGAACCAACCCCCGACTTTTTGAGGCAAAACAGCCCCTTTGGAGGGCCAAATTCCCCTTTTAGAGACCAAGCCCCACCTTTTAAATGCAAATTCCCCTTTTTTGGTGTCAAACTCTCCTTTTTGGATTAAACTCACCCATTTTTGAGGCCACCCTTCCCTCATGGCCCGAATTCCCACTTTTAGGAGCTAAATCTCCCTTTTTAGGGATAAACTCCCTCTTTTTGAAAAAGTCTCATTTGGGGGCAGAAGTTTTTATTTTGGGACCAAATTCATCATTTTTGAGTTTCTTTGAGAGGGAAAAAAGGCATTGGAGGAGCAAAACTTGAAAATTCTGGAAGGGAGCAATGAATGCTGGGGAAAAAACTCATCTGAATGGGAAAAATGGGGAATTTTGGGGAGAAACTGGGCAATTTTGGGGGGAAAATTGGCGATTTTGAGGGGAAAAGGGGGAATTTTGAGGGGGAAATGGAGAATTTTGAGGGGGAAATGGGGAATTTTGAGGGAAAATGGGGAATTTTGAAGAGAATTTGGAAACTGTGAGGGTAAATGTCCCCACTAAAATCCCCATTTGGAGCCACCCCTCCTCTCTGAGGCCAAATTCCCCATTTTTTGGCTCAAAATCTCTTTTTTTGAAACCAATCTCCTATTTTGGAACCAACCCCCGACTTTTTGAGGCAAAACAGCCCCTTTGGAGGGCCAAATTCCCCTTTTAGAGACCAAGCCCCACCTTTTAAATGCAAATTCCCCTTTTTTGGTGTCAAACTCTCCTTTTTGGATTAAACTCACCCATTTTTGAGGCCACCCTTCCCTCATGGCCCGAATTCCCACTTTTAGGAGCTAAATCTCCCTTTTTAGGGATAAACTCCCTCTTTTTGGGGCCAAATTTCCTATTTTTGAGGCAAAAATCCCTATTTTTGAGGTAAAAATCCCTATTTTTGGAGCCAAAATCCCCATATTTAGTGCCAAACCCCACTTTTTGGGGTGCAAACTCTTTTTTTTTAATTCAAATTTCCCCTTTTTGGGACCAAACTCCCCCTTTGGTCACAACCCTTCCACTTTTCCGGGCGATTTTCCCCGTTTTTGGGTCAATTCCCCCCTTTTTTTAGACCCAACCCCCACTTTTTGGAGCGACCCCACCCTTTTGGGGGGCCCAAATTCACTTTTCCAGGTGCCACCCCCACCCTTTTTGGGACCAAACTCCCCATTTTTGGGGCCAAATCCTTCCCTTCTCTGGGTCCGCCTCCCCTCTTCCCTCAGCCCCTCAATCCGGCCCCATTTTGGGGTAAAATTCCCCAATTTTGGGGCTCCCCCCCCCACTCCGATCCCGCCGGTACCTGAGGGGGGGCGCGGGGGTGGAGCCGGCGCGCGCCGCCCTGGCCACGCCCCCTCGCGCGCGCTGCCGCAGGGGGCGTGGCGACGCAGGGGGCGTGGCCAATCAGTGGGCGTGGTTATGCGAAATGGGCGTGGTCTTAATGCAGCTTCGAGTGGTGGGCGTGGTTCTGTCGGCAAAGAGGCGTGGCTTTGTGAAAGGGGCGTGGCTTTGTGAAAGGGGCGTGGCTTTGTGACTCCTCCCCCCCCGGTGCACCCAAACCCAAAGGTGAGACCATCCAGATCCCCCCGGATTTAAAGGAAAAATCAAAAAAAATTCAGAGGGAAAAATCCATATTTTTAGTGGAAAACTGATATTTTTGCAGGGAAAATGGGAATTTTTGAGGTAAAATCCATACTTTCAGTGGAAAATCAGTATTTTTGCAGGGAAAATGGGAATTTTGAGGCTGAGACCCTCCAGATTTAGAGGAAAAATCAAAAATATTAGAGTGAAAAATCTATAGTTTTAGTGGAAAACCAGTATTTTTGCAGGGAAAGTGGGAATTTTGCGGCTGAGTCCCTCTGGATTAGGACGAAAAATCAAATATTCAAAAGTGAAAATCCATATTTTTAGTGGGAAAAACTGTATTTTTCGGGGCAAAATGGAAGGTTTTGGCCAAGCTGGAAAGTGTTTGGGGAGGAAGGAGTCATTTTGGGGAGAATCTGATCATTGTAGGGGATATAACAATTTTGCCCAGAAAACAATTTTAGGGGAAACATGTGAATTTTGGGAGCCCATTAAGGGTGGAATTGGCGCCCCTGAGGGAAAAATGGGGGGGAAATGGAGCCTTTGAGGGGAAAATATGGGGAAATTGAGCCCGTGAGGGAAAAATGGAGCCCATGAGGAGGAAATGGGGGAAATGGAGCCTTTGAAGGGAAAATGGGGGAAAATGGAGGGAAATTGAGCCCTTGAGGAGAAAATGGGGGAAATGGAGCCTTTGAAGGGAAAATAGAGGCCCTGAGGGGAAAATGGAGCCCATGAGGAGGAAATGGGGGGGAGCCTTTGATGGGGAAATTGAGCCCGTGAGGGAAAAATGGAGCCCATGAGAAGGAAATGGGGGGAAATGGAGCCTGTGAGGGAAAAATGGGGGAAAATGGAGGGAAATTGAGCCCTTGAGGAGAAAATGGGGGAAATGGAGCCTTTGAAGGGAAAATAGAGGCCCTGAGGGGAAAATGGAGCCCATGAGGAGGAAATGGGGGGAAATTGAGCCCATGAGGAGAAATGGAGGCCCTATTGAACCTTTGAGGGGAAAATGGGGGAAATGGAGCCTTTGAGGAGGAAGATGGGGGGAAATTGAGCCCGTGAGGGAAAAATGGAGGCCATGAGGAGGAAATGGGGGGAAATGGAGCCTTTGAGGGGGAAGATGGGGAAAATGGAGCCCGTGAGGGAAAAATGGAGGCCATGAGGGGAAAATGGAGTCCATGAGGGGAAAATGGGGGGAAATTGAGCCCATGAGAGGAAATGGAGTCTGTGAGCAGAAATTGTGGGAAAATTGAGCCTTTGAAGGGAAAATGGAGCCCATGAGGAGGAAATGGGGGAAATGGAGCCTGTGAGGGGAAAATGGGGAGGAATGGCGACCGTGAAGGGAAAATGCAGTCTGTGAGGGAAAAATGGGGGGGAAATGAAGCCTTTGATGGGAAAACAGGGAAAATTAAGCCTTTGAGGGGAAAATGGGAGAAATGGAGCATTTGAGGGGAAATTGTGGGAAAATGGAGCCTTTGAGGGGAAAATGGAGGCCATGAGGAGGAAATGGGGGAAATGGAGCCTGTGAGGGAAAAATGGAGCCTGTGAGGGGAAAAGGGGGAGGAATGGCGACCGTGAGGGGAAAATGCAGTCCGTGAGGGAAAAATGGGGGGGAAATGAAGCCTTTGATGGGAAAACGGGGGAAAATTAAGCCTTTGAGGGGAAAATGGGAGAAATGGAGCCTTTGAGGGGAAATTGTGGGAAAATAGAGCCTTTGAGGGGAAAATGGAGCCCATGAGGAGGAAATGGGGAAAATGGAGCCTTTGAGATGAAAATGGGGGAAAATGAAGCATTTGAGGGGAAAATGGGCGAAAAAATTGAACCTTTGAGGGGGAAATGGGGGGAAATGGAGCCTGTGAGGGGAAAATGGGGGGAAATTGAGCCCTTGAGGGGAAAATGGGAGAAATGGAGCCTTTGAGGGGAAATTGTGGGAAAATAGAGGCCCTGAGGGGAAAATGGAGCCCATGAGGAGGAAATGGGGGGAAATTGAGCCCATGAGGAGAAATGGAGGCCCTGAGGGGAAATTGTGGGAAAATTGAGCCTTTGAGGGGAAAATGGAGCCCATGAGGAAGAAATGGGGGAAATGGAGCCCGTGAGGGAAAAATGGAGCCTGTGAGGGGGAAATGGGGGGAAAATGGAGCCTTTGAGGGGGAAATGGAGCCCATGAGGAGGCAATGGGGGAAATGGAGCCTTTGAGGGGAAAATGGGGGGAAATGGAGCCTGTGAGGGGAAAATGGGGGGCAAATGAAGCCTTTGAGGGGGAAATGGGGGGAAAATTGAGCCTTTGAGGGGAAAATGGGGGGAAATGGAGCCTTCGAGGGGAAAATGGAGCCTGTCAGGAGAAAATGGGGAAAAATGGAGCCCATGAGGGGAAAATGGGGGGAAAATTGAACCTTTGAGGGGAAAACGGGTAGAAATGGAGCCTTGTGAGGGTGATGGTGGCAAACGGTGGCCATGAGGGGCAGCTGAGGGGGAAAGGAGGTGAAAATTCACCCAGTGAGGTGTGCACATGGCGCCTGGGAGATTGAGGTGACACCTCTGAGTGGCGTCCCCAGCTGAGGACACACCTGGGGTGGTGCATCAGCTGTGAGGTGAGGATACAACCGGAATATTTGGATAAAAATGAGCTGTTATCCAAACACCATTTTTTTAAAAATCCAGGATTAATAACCTGCTTGTAACAACATTTATATTATGTTTGATCTCACAGTTATCAATTCTTTTGCACAGTGCTTGTGTCTCCCCAGTTCAGGGGATGTCTGGGTTTCTGATGAAGGCTTCCAAGGTCTTCCTCACATCTGAGCTTTTCATTTGCCTTCAGAACACGGTGATCCTTGTTCTGTCTGGTCTAACCAGCCTAAATTCTCCATTTCGTGGCTAATTGGCTTTGCACTTGCCAATTTCTCATTAGTGATATACTTATCTATCCCTAAAGCTCTCCACCTGGTGAGATTTTTCTTAGTTTTTTCTCAATTCAGCATTAAGCAACCTGCTAACCATATAGTAGCCATTACTTCATTAAAAAAGTTATTTATATGTGGTTATATAGGGATGAAAGCCGTGTTAGAGGTTACATAGGTGTAAAGAGCTGTAATTTGGATTATACATGAGTCAGATTGCATAAATGCATAAGAAATTCTAATTTAAATTGTATTGTTATTAGCTTATGCAAATGTGCCAGGCTATACTAATGCCTTATAATGTGGAACCTATAAGCACCTTGTAACTTCGGCGCAAGTTGTATAGGCATTAATAGAAACAAATATTGCAAAATTAGATATATTTAAGCAACACGTGATAATCGTTAAATTGTTGTTTGTTATTCCAAATTAGTTCATACTCTTGGCGTCACAGAATCATTCTGACTGGAAAATAACCCCGAGTAATAAATGTTGTCCCAAGGTTTTTTGTCCCGATCACCGACAAACGCGATTTTTACCGAAATTCCCCCAATTCGCGGCGCCCCTTGCCCCCATGGCGTCCCCCGTTCCCATGGCGACGGGGCGGCCCACTCCACTCCTCCCCTGCCTCCCTCCACACTTGGTACGTTCCATGCAAATGACCCCCACTGGCGCCACCAACCCAGCGTTCAAACCGGCGGCCAATAGGAAGCGAGAAGGCGGGGTTACAGTGAAGATTGACAGCAACCCGAGCCTATCGCGAGGCGTGGCGCCATAGAACGGCCGCTAGAAACCGCCGACCTATCAGAGGCGAGGAGGCGGGGTTAAGGCGAAGATTGACAGCGCCCTGAGCCAATCGCGAGGCGCAGCGCTCCGTCCCTCAGCGGCCGCCTCAGCCGCCGCTTTCCCGCCCTCCGGCCGCGGCCCCGGCCCGAGACCCCCGGGACCCCCTCAGCCCCCGGGACCCTCCCGGGACCCCCCGGCCCCACCATGGGCTTCCTGAAGCTCATCGAGATCGAGAACTTCAAGTCGTACAAGGGCCGCCAGATCATCGGGCCCTTCCGCCGCTTCACCGCCATCATCGGCCCCAATGGCTCCGGTGAGTCCCGGGGGGCTCTCGGGGGTGAGGGGGGGTCGGGGCCGCTCACCGTGAGGGGTGACCCCGAATTCTTTACACCTCCCCGCTCCCGCTCCCTCCTCCCGCCGTGCCCGGGGGTTCCCCGTTCCCCGGGGTCCCTCCTAAGCCTTGAAGTCCCCAGCAATTCTCCGCAGTTCTTCCTCACCCCCACCCCGTCACTCTCTGGGGTTCCCCCTCACGTCCCTCCTCTTCCCACGGAGTCCCCCCTATTCCATGGGGTCCCTCTTAAGCCTTGAAGTCCCCAATAATTTTCTACATCCCTTGCTCGCCCCTCGCCTGGCTCTCTGGGGTCCCCGCTCGCCTTCCTCCTTTTCCCATGGGGTTCCCCCCGTCATTTCATGGGGTCCCTCCTAAGCCTTGAAGTCCCCAATAATTTTCTACATCCCTTGCTCGCCCCTCGCCTGGCTCTCTGGGGTCCCCGCTCGCCTTCCTCCTTTTCCCATGGGGTTCCCCCCGTCATTTCATGGGGTCCCTCCTGAGCTTTGGGGTCCCCCCCATTCCCGCCTCACACCGTGGGGTCCCCCCTCACGCTCCCCCCAAGCCTTTGGCTCCCCTCTCACCTCCCTCTTCTTCCCCAGGGGTCCCCCCCACTCCATGGGGTCCTTCCTGAGCTTTGGGGTCCCCAATAATTCTCCACAGCCCCCCCTCGCCCCCCCTTCACTCTTTGGGGTCCCCCCTCCCCTCCCTCCTCTTCCCCCTGTTCCATGGGGTCCCTCCTGAGCTTTGGGGTCCCCCCATTCCCTGCAGCCTCCCCCTCACCCTCTGGGGTCCCCGCTCAATTCCCTGGGCTCCCTCCAAGCCCCCATTCCCTGAGATCCCCCCAGTAATTCCTGGGGCTCCCCCATCCCCTGCTTTCCCCCCAAGCCCCTCATCCCATTCCCAGGACTTCCTCCAAGCCCCCCATTCCCTGGGGTCCCCCTTCTTTCCTTGGGGTCCCCCTCAATTTCCAGCACTCCTTCCAAGCCCCCCATTCCTTGGGATCTCCCCTCAATTCCTTCAGTTCCCCCCATTCCCTGGGGTCCCCCCTCAATTCCCTGGGGTCCCTCTCAATTCCCAGGGCTCACTCCAACCCCCCCATTCCCTGGGGTCCCCCAATAATTCCCAGGGCTCTCTCCAAGCCTCCCTTTGATTCTCTGGGTTCCCCCATTCCCTGGGTTCCCCCATTTCCTGGGGTCCCCCCTCAATTCCCTGGGTTCCCCCATTCCCTGGGGTCCCTCCTGTTTCCTTGGGGTCCCCCCTCAATTCCCAACACTCCTTCCAAGCCCCCATTCCCTGGGGTCCCCCCTCAATTCCCAGGGCTCACTCCAACTCCCCCCATTCCCTGGGGTCCCCCAATAATTCCCAGGGCTCCTTCCAAGCCCCCCTTTGATTCTCTGGGTTCTCCCATTCCCTGGGGTCCCCCAATAATTCCCAGAGCTCTCCCCATTCCTTGGGGTCCCCCCTCAATTCCCTGGGTTCCCCCCATTCCCTGGGGTCCCCCTTCTTTCCCTGGGGTCCTCTCTCCAAGCCCCCCATTCCCTGGGGTCCCCCATTCCTTGGGGTCCCCCCTCAATTCCCAGAGCTCCCGTGTCCCCCCCCTCACCTCCCGCCAGGCAAATCCAACCTGATGGACGCCATCAGCTTCGTGCTGGGGGAGAAGACGAGCAACCTGCGGGTGAAGACGCTGCGGGACCTGATCCACGGCGCCCCCGTGGGGAAGCCCGCGGCCAGCCGCGCCTTCGTCAGCATGGTGTACTCCGAGGAGGGCGCCGAGGACCGCACCTTCGCCCGCGTCATCGTCGGTCAGCGCGGGACCCGCGGGGCTGCGGCTTTGGGGCTGGTTTGGGGGTGTTTGGGGGCGGTTCTGGGGGTCTGGGGATGGTTTAGGGGGATTTTGGGGGTCTCACACTTGTGGGGGGCACAGTTTAGTGTTTGTGAGGCACATTTTGGGGTGTTTAGGATTTGGGGGATCCCTCTGATCCCCCAAATCCCCCCAAACCCCGCAGCACAGGCAGCTCTGAGGAGGAGGAGTCTCAGTGTGGGTGCTAAGGGGGCACATTTTGGGGGTCACAGAGTTGTGGGGGGCACAGTTTAGTGTTTGTGGGGCATATTTTGGGGTGTTTAGGATTTGGGGGGCACATTTTGGGGGTGTTTAGGATTTGGGGGATCCCCCTGACCCCCCAAATCCCCCATGCCAGGCAGCTCTGAGGAGGGGGCCAAGGCCACACCTTTACCTGTGTCAGTGTGGGTGCAAAGGGGGCACATTTTGGGGGTCTCAGAGTTGTGGGGGGCACAGTTTAGTGTTTGTGAGGCACATTTTGGGGTGTTTAGGATTTGGGGGGCACACTTTGGGGGTGCTTAGGGTTTGGGGGATCCCCCTGACCCCCCAGATCCCCCATGCCAGGCAGCTCCTCCGAGTACAAGATCAACAACCGCGTGGTGCAGCTGAGCGAGTACAGCGAGGAGCTGGAGAAGTTGGGCATCCTCATCAAGGCTAGGAACTTCCTCGTCTTCCAGGTGGGGTGGGGTTTTTGGGGGTTTTTGGGTTTTTTTGGGGGTGATTTGGGGCTTCTGGGGAGGTTTGGAGGGGGTTTTGGGGGGCTTTGTGTAGGTTCAGGGGGAGCAGAGTGGGGAGGTTTTTGTGCTCCCAGGAACTGGGGGCTCCCAGGATGGTTTTTGGGGGAGAATGCCCTCATTCCCCCACCCCAAAGGGATCCCCCAGCCCCCTGTGGGGATTTGGGGACACCCCATGAGGATTTGGGGACACCCCATGAGGATTTGGGGA